TTAGCTGCCCCTCTCCTTCTCATGCTCTATGTATCTCCCTCTCTCTGTCTCCCTTCCCATCCCCTCTCATGTTTTAGCTGCCCCTCTCCATCTCATGCTCTATGTATCTCTCTCTCTCTCTCTGTCTCTCTACCCTTCCCCTCTCATGTTTTAGCTGCCCCTCTCCATCTCATGCTCTATGTATCTCCCTCTCTTTGTCTCCCTTCCCATCCCCTCTCATGTTTTAGCTGCCCCTCTCCATCTCATGCTCTATGTATCTCCCTCTCTCTGTCTCCCTTCCCTTCCCCTCTCATGTTTTAGCTGCCCCTCTCCATCTCATGCTCTATGTATCTCCCTCTCTCTGTCTCCCTTCCCATCCCCTCTCATGTTTTAGCTGCCCCTCTCCTTCTCATGCTCTATCTGTCTCTCTCTGTCTCTACTCTTTCCCCATCTCCCTCTCCCTCTCTCCCTTCCCTTCCCCTCTCATGTTTTAGCTGCCCCTCTCCATCTCATGCTCTATGTATCTCCCTCTCTCTGTCTCCCTTCCCATCCCCTCTCATGTTTTAGCTGCCCCTCTCCTTCTCATGCTCTATCTGTCTCTCTCTGTCTCTACTCTTTCCCCATCTCCCTCTCCCTCTCTCCCTTCCCTTCCCCTCTCATGTTTTAGCTGCCCCTCTCCATCTCATGCTCTATGTATCTCCCTCTCTCTGTCTCCCTTCCCATCCCCTCTCATGTTTTAGCTGCCCCTCTCCATCTCATGCTCTATGTATCTCCCTCTCTCTGTCTCCCTTCCCTTCCCCTCTCATGTTTTAGCTGCCCCTCTCCATCTCATGCTCTATGTATCTCCCTCTCTCTGTCTTCCTTCCCTTCCCCTCTCATGTTTAAGCTGCCCCTCTACATCTCATGCTCTATGTATCTCTCTCTCTCTGTCTCCCTTCCCTTCCCCTCTCATGTTTTAGCTGCCCCTCTCCATCTCATGCTCTATGTGTCTCCCTCTCTCTGTCTCCCTTCCCTTCCCCTCTCATGTTTAAGCTGCCCCTCTCCATCTCATGCTCTATGTATCTCCCTCTCTCTGTCTCCCTTCCCTTCCCCTCTCATGTTTAAGCTGCCCCTCTCCATCTCATGCTCTATGTATCTCCCTCTCTCTGTCTCCCTTCCCTTCCCCTCTCATGTTTTAGCTGCCCCTCTCCATCTCATGCTCTATGTATCTCCCTCTCTCTGTCTTCCTTCCCTTCCCCTCTCATGTTTAAGCTGCCCCTCTCCATCTCATGCTCTATGTATCTCCCTCTCTCTGTCTCCCTTTCCTTCCCCTCTCATGTTTTAGCTGCCCCTCTCCTTCTCATGCTCTATGTATCTCCCTCTCTCTGTCTCCCTTCCCATCCCCTCTCATGTTTTAGCTGCCCCTCTCCTTCTCATGCTCTATGTATCTCTCTCTCTCTCTCTCTCTCTCTCTGTCTCCCTTCCCTTCCCCTCTCATGTTTTAGCTGCCCCTCTCCTTCTCTAAATGTCTCTCTCTGTCTCTACTCTTTCCCCATCTCCCTCTCTCTGTCTCCCTTCCCTTCCCCTCTCATGTTTTAGCTGCCCCTCTCCATCTCATGCTCTATGTATCTCCCTCTCTCTGTCTCCCTTCCCTTCCCCTCTCATGTTTTAGCTGCCCCTCTCCATCTCATGCTTTATGTATCTCCCTCTCTCTGTCTTCCTTCCCTTCCCCTCTCATGTTTTAGCTGCCCCTCTCCATCTCATGCTCTATGTATCTCTCTCTCTCTCTCTCCCTTCCCTTCCCCTCTCATGTTTTAGCTGCCCCTCTCCATCTCATGCTCTATGTATCTCTCTCTCTCTCTGTCTACCTTCCCTTCCCCTCTCATGTTTTAGCTGCCCCTCTCCATCTCATGCTCTATGTATCTCCCTCTCTCTGTCTCCCTTCCCTTCCCATCTCATGTTTTAGCTGCCCCTCTCCATCTCATGCTCTATGTATCTCCCTCTCTCTGTCTCCCTTCCCATCCCCTCTCATGTTTTAGCTGCCCCTCTCCATCTCATGCTCTATGTATCTCCCTCTCTCTGTCTCCCTTCCCTTCCCCTCTCATGTTTTAGCTGCCCCTCTACATCTCATGCTCTATGTATCTCTCTCTCTCTCTCTGTCTCCCTTCCCTTCCCCTCTCATGTTTTAGCTGCCCCTCTCCTTCTCTAAATGTCTCTCTCTGTCTCTACTCTTTTCCCATCTCCCTCTCTCTGTCTCCCTTCCCTTCCCCTCTCATGTTTTAGCTGCCCCTCTCCATCTCATGCTCTATGTATCTCCCTCTCTCTGTCTCCCTTCCCTTCCCCTCTCATGTTTTAGCTGCCCCTCTCTTTCTCTAAATGTCTCTCTCTGTCTCTACTCTTTCCCCATCTCCCTCTCTCTTTCTCCCTTCCCTTCCCCTCTCATGTTTTAGCTGCCCCTCTCCATCTCATGCTCTATGTATCTCCCTCTCTCTGTCTCTCTTCCCTTCCCTTCTCCTTCTCTAAATGTCTCTCTCTGTCTCTACTCTTTCCCCATCTCCCTCTCTCTGTCTCCCTTCCCTTCCCCTCTCTGTCTCCCTTCCCTTCCCCTCTCATGTTTTAGCTGCCCCTCTCCTTCTCATGCTCTATGTATCTCCCTCTCTGTGTCTCCCTTCCCATCCCCTCTCATGTTTTAGCTGCTCCTCTCCTTCTCTTAATGTCTCTCTCTGTCTCTACTCTTTCCCCATCTCCCTCTCTCTGTCTCCCTTCCCTTCCCCTCTCTGTCTCCCTTCCCTTCCCCTCTCATGTTTTAGCTGCCCCTCTCCTTCTCATGCTCTATGTATCTCCCTCTCTGTGTCTCCCTTCCCATCCCCTCTCATATTTTAGCTGCTCCTCTCCTTCTCTAAATGTCTCTCTCTGTCTCTACTCTTTCCCCATCTCCCTCTCTCTGTCTCCCTTCCCTTCCCCTCTCATGTTTTAGCTGCCCCTCTCCATCTCATGCTCTATGTATCTCCCTCTCTCTGTCTCCCTTCCCTTCCCCTCTCATGTTTTAGCTGCCCCTCTACATCTCATGCTCTATGTATCTCTCTCTCTCTCTCTCTGTCTCCCTTCCCTTCCCCTCTCATGTTTTAGCTGCCCCTCTCCTTCTCTAAATGTCTCTCTCTGTCTCTACTCTTTTCCCATCTCCCTCTCTCTGTCTCCCTTCCCTTCCCCTCTCATGTTTTAGCTGCCCCTCTCCTTCTCTAAATGTCTCTCTCTGTCTCTACTCTTTCCCCTTCTCCCTCTCTCTGTCTCCCTTCCCTTCCCCTCTCATGTTTTAGCTGCCCCTCTCCATCTCATGCTCTATGTATCTCCCTCTCTCTGTCTCTCTTCCCTTCCCCTCTCCTTCTCTAAATGTCTCTCTCTGTCTCTACTCTTTCCCCATCTCCCTCTCTCTGTCTCCCTTCCCTTCCCCTCTCTGTCTCCCTTCCCTTCCCCTCTCATGTTTTAGCTGCCCCTCTCCTTCTCATGCTCTATGTATTTCCCTCTCTGTGTCTCCCTTCCCATCCCCTCTCATGTTTTAGCTGCTCCTCTCCTTCTCTTAATGTCTCTCTCTGTCTCTACTCTTTCCCCATCTCCCTCTCTCTGTCTCCCTTCCCTTCCCCTCTCTGTCTCCCTTCCCTTCCCCTCTCATGTTTTAGCTGCCCCTCTCCTTCTCATGCTCTATGTATCTCCCTCTCTGTGTCTCCCTTCCCATCCTCTCTCATGTTTTAGCTGCTCCTCTCCTTCTCTAAATGTCTCTCTCTGTCTCTACTCTTTCCCCATCTCCCTCTCTCTGTCTCCCTTCCCTCTCCTTCTCATGCTCTATGTCTCTCTCCGTCTCTACTCTTTCCCCATCTCCTTCTCTTGCTCTACCAGACTCTTCTTCTCTTGCTCTACTCTCTCACCCTCTCCTGCCTCTGGCTCTCATTCTCCCCCTTTTATGTCTTCGAATGTTCCTTAATTTTCTCTAGCTCTTCCCTTCGTCCTTTGTATTCTCATTTCACCTCCAATTCCTCTTTTACCCCTCTGTCCAGCTCATGAATTTTTTACATTACTATACCCCGTCTCCGTCTCTCCTCTATATCTACTGCCATCTCTCTCTCTCTCTCTCTTCTCTCTTCAACTTCCAGACCACCTCATTCGTCTTACGTGACAAATTCAAATCTCGTTATTATTATTATTATTATTATGCATATTTAATAAGCTCTGTGTAATGAGATGCAGAAATGTGAATCGTATTACACGTCTTTACAAAAAATGCAGCTATTGACCACCTCATATCTGAACGAGGCTTTAGGGTCACTATTGGGTATGGGGTTAGAGTGAAAGTTAGGCTCATTGTGTAGTCAACAAGAATTTGGTTTAACAGTGTAGCTCATTGATCTTGATGCAACTGTCAACAAAGCATGTCACAGATAAGGGAGCATGTTTAGGGCCATTATTATCTGCACATACTCATCTCAATTGCAACTCCTTTACTCTTTAAAACTAGATGGAGTTGAAAATGATGCCTACGCCAAAGAGTGATTTTACAAACCAAAACAGAAGCAATTTTTTAAATTCAAGTTTGATTGTAATCCATCATAAGGTTCTCAGAATATCTTGATTACAAGCTATTGGCTCTGCAAGAAACATGCATGTCCCCAGTTTGATAGTAATCTATCCATCGGTTGTAATGAAAATGCATTCACAAGCTATCTTTGCATACAATAATGAGCCCTGTGACCCCAAAATCTAATCAGTTCATTGGCTAAATATTCAAAAACGTTTTCAGTGTTATCAGCGAGTTAATGGCACCGTCTGCACCACCTGATTTATAATAGTTTTATGACCAACCTATACGTTGCATAACACCTCTAATTATTTTCCCAAACTGCCCAACGTGAAAATTATGTTCAGTTTGGTAGATACCACGTTTGGCATACTTTCATTTGGTTCAGTGGTTCAACTACTTTGCACTGTAGCTACCTAGTGACATTCATTGTATTGACCCAAAGTTTTTTTGTTTTTTTCCCCCTTCACAGATATAGGAAGCCTACCGACTTTAAAAGGAAAAAGCTGAGTCTGTTAACGTCCAAGCCACTATATCTTCATCTAAACTTAATTTTGTATGAGAACTGAGGAACAACTCACTGCAGTGTTTTTTTTATGCAGGGTGCCTTCTTTTTGAAAGGTAGCAGTTTGAGCAGAAATACACTCTCAGGGGCCAAATTATGTTGAGGTTGCTAATTTCAAATTTAGTCCACTTGACGCTGTACTAACCCCAGCGCTGAAAGGTGAAAATTCACTGTTGTGAAGTATTGACTGTTTTTCTGTCTCGCTGCCGAAGGAGATTGTTTTCTATTATAAATAATTCTTTTTACAGCACTCTGAAAAATAATATCAATATGCTATAATGTACATGCTTAATACCAGTACTGTATTCTTTAGATTTATATATTTCTATTCTATGTATGATCATACAGTATGTGGTTTTATTGACAGGAAATCTAGTTAAATGGAAATGCAATAATTAATGACCTGGAATAAAAACTATTAAATATAACATTATTATAAACAATGATTAGAAATTGGTATTAATTAACTTTAATGAGGAAGCAAGTTCATTGAACATGTACCAGAAACAACACATTGGATTATAGTAGGTTATATCAGCTTAAAAAAAAAAAAATGTGTGCATGAATGTTTTTTCACAACATGACGATTGAACAAACACATCTCATTATTTCAGATGTATGTGTGCCTTGGTCTATGTGTCAGTCAATGTACAAACCAATGTCTAAATTGTATTCATTATCTATGTTATTTTTTTTTTAAATTTAAATTTAAATTTACTAGACAGTTGAGACTTATCCTTTTTTTTGTACAAGGGAATCATTTGTAACTAACGATTTTGTAATACATGTAGATTTGTACAGAGTAATAAATACATGTATATGCTTTGATGATATAATGGATGTTCAGAAGTTGCGTTATTTCGAGTTGACTAGATATTTCTTATATGTAGAGCTGCATTTACGAAAGCACTTAATACATCCATACTTAATAGCCATGTTGTCAATTATGTTAAAGGGAGTGTAGCTTGGCATATACTGGTGAACAACATCTATGTCTTCTTTTGGAAAACTGCACGTAAACGAATAGACTTATTTTATTTCGTATTATACCTGATTGGCCCAGAGACAGGCTACACTCCCTTGAAGTTAAATAATGCATCATTTCATTTCAAAGCTCCACTTCATGTCTCAAAGGTAGTGTATTCCTTTTGAAGCCAACATCACATTCTGTAGAACTTTGCAGGAGTCGTGAATATGTAACATATGTCTCATCTGAAAAATTTAAACCTTAGCAGTGTCCTAGCTTTGCAAGGGAAACCGTTTACTCTCTAAATCTAAATCTTACAATTTTTTAAATCTTAGCATTATGCAATACACACCATAAACTGTTTCTGGAAACAATTACAGATCATGTTGGGGCCTAAGTTGTGCACATTTATATTTATTTTTATTTTTTACCTGCATATCAAATTCATTTACACATACATGTAGTAGGTTTGTAAACTGCTGTAAGAGTTTGTTTTTGAGGCAGTTTATTGCATCACATGTGGACACAGCTCACGAGATAGATGAGTTGTGATAGTCTTGCTTCCATAAGAATTCTGGATGGTACGGATGTCCTTCTGTACAGCTCTTTGAGCAAGTATAGATCAGCAGAGTCCCCCAATCAATGCTTGCATCAAGACTATCTACATCAAGATGAGTCAGGAGCTGGGGCATGATCTGAAAAAGAAAGAAGAGTCATTTATCAAAATAAAGTGAAATGTTTATTATATGTTACCTTACATATAAAAAAAAAAAAATTCTATGCGGTCATTACAAACATGTAGTAGGAGGAAATTAAAAAATAGTGGTAAAAATTACTCTTTGCTGAGAGTACACAATTTCAAAGAATCACTGGAAATGTTTAGTACAATTCGAGGGGTCAGTGACACAAAGGTGTAACTCCATGTGTCAAGGAGCACTTGGGCCTTAAGGAGTTAAGTCTATGTTTCACTAGCCATTGACTTCAATGGGGTGTTGGGTGGTTTTCGTGTTTTCTGGAAAGCCCACATTTTTCTGAACATTTTGATATCAAATACTCATTTTGGCAAAATATGGATTTACGTCTTTGTGTCACTGAACTAGCTACACTGAACCCTTAAAGTGAACCTGTTGCAACTTGGAACAAGTGAAATTACCTGGTTTGAAATACTGGAACCTTGTTTATAACAAGGGCTAAAAAAAGACAATACATGTACTCAAAATAAATGGGACCACAAAGATTACCTGTTACATAACCTTTAGAACAAAGTGTGTATGTATGATCATTTTAATAATTCATTTAGAACATACACAGATATATTGGTAAGCAAATACAACTTGGTCTTTATGTCTGCTGTATAAGATCACCTGAAATTCAAAACGTCTTTTTGCCCCACAAGTACAAAGCATAATGTCCTCGACTCTTGGTTGGTCACATGCAGATACATATAGAGGCACTCCTCCCTTCTCATACCGTAGAACCTAAAACACCAAAGAAACAAGTCATCAAATAATCAAGTGTCATCTGTGCCTGGAAGGGGGAAATTGTAGACAATTATAACCCTCCAGTGTCTTGATATAGATTATTGGGATGTACAAATTAGCTTTTATACTGGGGTTTTCCCCTGCTCATGAGCATTTGATTGTCATGTGGATTTGGCACCTTACAAACCTTTAATTATGTATGTATTATTATTAATAGTGCTGTGGGTTCTTTCAGTGTACCAATCACGGTCACCTAAGAACATACTTTGTGTATAACTAGAATGTATGAAATCAGCCTCAAGAACTTCACCCCCAATTCTATGGGCTAATAGATGAAGACTATGAAGTAAATAAATGATAATATAATATTAAACTCTTCATATAGCTAGAGATTGCTCGAAACAAAGTGTCTGTTGGGGCCATATTTAATGTGAGCATGTATGGATGCGTTGAGTAGTCTACTTGGAAGTCACTATTTTGTTAATTGAGAGTGTATTTAATCTTGCAAGATCTCTTTTCAGAAGTAATATTTGAAGCTCATATTGTGAATCTATAATCTATATTACGACACAAAACTACTAACACACAAAACAAAATAGTTGTTGGTGATTGGTACACTTAAGTGGGCATAGGTGGCAACTCTCCTATACACGCGATCTCCAGTTTATGTCCTATCTTAGTATCCATGAGATAAATAGACTTCTTTTAGGGAAATCCAACCTTGATAGCAAACTACTCTGGAGGAGAAGACTAGTGAATGTTTCCATGGAATCGGACAAAAAAATTAGAGAGTTATACAATTTCAAAAGTTGTAAATCATTATAGTATAAACTCTTTATATTTCGTGAATTGGTAATGTCTCAGTGATATAGTGGCCGACAACTCTGATAAGAGAGGACACCTGGGATAAAAACAGAAATTAATGATATTTTGTGTACATTACAAACAGGAGAGTTATCAGCGACTACGTCACAATCCACTGACCAAACAGCCGATTTGAGATTGGCATCTAGACTTAGTGATCTCATATTTCAACATTCATAACTTTCTTAAATTGGTCCCATTCATTTTTCTGCTTTCATTCAAAATTATTACAAGGGGGTTGGATTGCTCTCTAATGGCAAAGTCCACCCTGGCATCAAGTTGGGAGAGGAAGGCTTTACTAAAGCAGAAAATGAGATAGATAACATATCAAGTAAAAATTCACAGAGTAAAAACTCTGTGATTTAATCTCCAAGCAGCTCTCTATTTGTTTTTACCTCAGATCTAATAAATGTCTATTTTTATATGTATTGACAATTCTTCCAATCATTCTACATCTGTTTGGAGCCAGATAGACTCTAATCCTATGTTCAAACAAAGGGTCGACTCTGAACAGACAATAGGGACTTTTAGATTCGCACAAAGACAATGGGGATTGCCACGATCGACGTCCTTTTAATGCACTGTCTTGAATGGACGTCACACATTTCAGTCCACGCAAATCCCTATTGTATGCTCTGAACATGATGACACATAAATTACAAAGTTGCCCCAATCAGAAAGCTGACTAAAACTCACTAAATAACTAATGGTCATGTTTGACAATTAACTGGCGATTTAGTAAAATATACTACCGGTAATCTTTTTTTTGGGTTGTTGCTTTTTTGCAACTTGAAATTAAGTCACTTTCTGAGGAAAAAGGCCTGAATTGTCCTACCGTAAATTAGAAATACCTGATCTGGATTGTGTGCAATCCTCTCCTTAAAGGTCCTGAACTGTACATCATCTTCTGTCTCCTTCCTAGCCATGCTATCAAGATCCTTGATGCTCATATCATCATTTCTATCAAATTCCCTAGCCATTCTATCAAGATCCTTCCTGCGCATATCATGATTTCTATCAAATTCGTCAGCAATTTTCATCAGACTTGCACCAGTTTGTTTAAGAGTAAGATGTTCATTGCTTGAGCCCTTCTGTACACTCTCGTCTTCTTCTTCTGCAACACTCTCCTTTTCTTCTTCTGCAACACTCTCCTCTTCTTCTTCTGCAACACTCTCCTCACTTTCTGGCTCTGTTACAAGCTCAAACTCCGGGAAGAGGAATTTATTTTCAGCTGAAATATCTTCAAAATTGGGACCTACAAAATATAAACAAAACAAACAATATTAAAGGCATGTAGGGATGCTAAAAATGCAACCATTAGCTAGATTTGTTTCTCTGTGCAGCACACATATGCTTCCCCTCTACTATTGTTTTGTGTCTGTCTTTGAATATAATGTTGAAAGGGGTTTAGGTTTAAAGCTTATCAACACTAGTGAGGCTCGGAGGGAATAGACCACACAGCGAGGTCACTGACAGGTGGCTATCTCATCAACTCGGCTCTCAAATAACATAGGAAATAGAGGATCATGGGGGACCAACAGGCACTGATTAGGAAAGTTTTCTATATAGAGGGAGCCAGTAGATACAAGTGGAACAGTGGGGCTTTAAGATATTTACCCCTTACCAAGAAGTGAATTATTCATTATTGAAAATGTAGTAAATTCATTATTGAAAGAATATTTTTCAAAAGGCAACAGGGGAATGAGCCAATAAGCTCATGTTTTGATCATCAAGTGCAGAAAAAATGACAATAATATTGAAGGGGATACAGTTTTGGTCAAATCATATCATTGATCTGGTGAATGTTATTTTGAGGGCATTACCTTGAGGAGGCCTTATCAGAAAGGGGATGAATAAATTAACAAAGGAATTTCATGTCCATTCAAGCTTTTTGATTAGCTTCATAGGGGCAACTTTTCTTCTGCAAAATTGTCTGACATGGAAAATACAAATGGGATTTTGAGGACAAAGATAGAAAAAGAATTCAAAACTCGAGGGAATACAGGGCGATGACGTTGTACATCATTGTAATTAGGAGGTCACCTGACACACACATGTCATGTGACATGTGCCAATGTACTTTTTCAGTGCCTACATCATGTATCATGGCTTTTGATAAACACAAACCCTGGCGCATAACCTCATATTTTTGGACTTCCAACCCCATTTCTTAGCACCGGGCAAAAGGCCTGCCACTGGCTGCCAGGCTTTCAGATTTTAGCTTTATAGTTATAGTTATATCGCAATTTTAGCAGCAGAAATAAGGATGATTTTTGATGGGTTTTCCAAATTTTCTGTGATTTCTAGGTCTATTGTAGAATACTTGTAAGTTGTGTGTGTACTAATGCCATTTAATGGGTCGATTGTTTGGATGTCTTGGAAGTGTAATTTTCATACATTACAAGTAAAGTTTGTGTCAAGATCATGGTGGTGTTTGAATCTAGGTTATGCTACTCTATATACATAAATAAAACAATTAATGAATAAATGGACAAATCCTATCACTTAATTCTGTCTTTCGAGGGTGCATTTGATTTACTTACAAGAGACCTCCAACCCCCCCCCCCCCCCCATAAAAAAGAAGTCCTGGAAGTGTACAGCCCTGAGAGTCAGAGATTATCAAATCGTTGCTTTAACGTACCCAGTTCCTTGCCACATGTTGCCTTGTGACCCATCTTCCAATCCAGAACCTGGTGATCTTTGCAACAGTATGTTACCCTTTGACATCTGCCACATTTCATATTGCCTGCATTGCACCCACAAAGTTCACACAACATAACTCCAAATTTCTTAGGAGAAATGATATCACTTTCAGCAACTTCATTGTCTTCGTCTGGCGGTTCATAACTGTAGAACTCGTTTCTCCTATCTAGCTGACATCGAAGAATTATGAATGGAATGTTGTGGTCTTCAGAGTTACTTGTTTGATGACAGGAAGCTTCCCTGCAGCAGAAGACGTACAGCGAACGGTGGAAACATTTCTGCCGGGTGTTCGGCGGCGTCAGTTCGTCCTCTTCGCCCGGTGGACAGTATATTTGCAGGAGAAATGCCATTGTCTTTCTGCAAATCGGACAGTTTAATTCTTTTGATTGAGGTATTTCCTTCAGATCCAGCCATGCTGGTTTACCACCTACTTTACTTGGGAAAAATTGACTGATCAAACGCAACGTAGGTGATTTTTCAACGAACCCAAGTTCCACATTTTTAACCGTGGAGGCCGCCATGGTGTTCCAGTCTGCAGTATGCCGCATGCATGCTGCGCTAGCCAGCTTAGCAGGTCCATGCCACTAGAGGTCAGTGGTCCATGCCATCGAAATCCAAGTTAGTTCGTTGGTCTATGCCTACCGAAGATGGCGTTATCAACTTGTATTGAACATCTCATGAACTAATTAATAATATGCATGTGTGAGTAGGTGGTTGTGGTAACTGCTTACATAACAAATGGTCATTAGTATTTTTTTTATTTTTATGAAATAAATGGAGAAAATATTTGGGTTGACCTAGACACAGTGGATGAAATCGTGCAATGATGATAAATTATTATTATTATTATTATTATTTTATGTTTTATTTAAATGATGTTTGTGGCATGATGATGATGATGATGATGATGGAGATGGTGATGATGTCAACGACAGTAATGATCGTCATTTTGAAATGATGAAAGCCTCAACAAGTTTTCACATAGTTACGAAAGTTTTCTGAATTATTATAAAAGATTGTTCTCAAAGGCCTACTTTCTGCATCAGACCCATCCTTCAAGTACAAAGGGGCTAAGGATTCAATGCCTGGCTACTGTTTCGTGGATTTGCGCCCTCTTAGTTGTCTACACAATAAAAATTATTTGTAAAATATAATAGTACATCGAAATTCAGATTATATATGCTCGGAAGCTGTTTTTACTTCATCTCATATGATTATCAGTGGTTTCCCGCAGCCCTTAATATAGTATAGAGATTTTTCTATTGCTCCTTTTTTTTCCTTTTCTTTTTTCATAGATTTTTATTCGAAGCATGTATATTTTGCTGTAAAAAAAATATATATATAGCAGGAAAATATATCTTTTTAAGGTATTGTCTAATTTGCTCCCACAGTTCAATCTGTTTTACTGTTACCCAGAGTACAGCCGAACCCCGCCCCCGCTTCTTATCGTGATACACAATTATCTGTCAAAAATGGGGCATTAACGAAAAGGGACATTTTGCATGCAAACGCTGTCTCCACACAATTCTCTCTATTTATCTCTCTCTCCTTCTCATCTCTCTCTCTCTCTCTGTCCCTCGCTTTCTCTTAATTTCTCAAGTCTCTATCAACTCTCTCTCACCCCCTCTCTCTCTCTCTCTCTCTCTCTCTCTCTCTCTCTCCCTCTCTCTCTCTCTCTCCCCCTCTCTCTCTCTCTCTCTCTCTCTCTCTCTCTCTCTCTCTTACACCCTTCTTATCTATCTCGATCCCCCCGTCTCCTTCTCTTTCTTGCCCCACATCTCTCTTAATATCCCCCATTATGAACCTAAGGTCACATCACAATGCAATCTTTGACGGTACGCTTTCACACACTTTTATTCGAATTTGATAGGACAGTAATTATGTCCAGTTTTACAACCTAGCTCCCTAATCCAGGGCGGAGCATTACAATATACCAGCCATCTAAAGTTTTTTCATAATTTTTTTATGGATCATTAAAAAATCATTCAAAATAAAGAGACAAAGACACCTTAAAATTTTAACTATTCATATCATGATAGCAGAACGTTTTTAGTTCTATTATTTTATTTACAAACGGTCCATTCGGGTGTGTATTGTGATGTCATTCATGCTGAGGTATATAGCAGAATATTACCAACAAAAGGTTATTTTCTTATTCACTGCTATATAACCTCAAGAATTCGGTTGGGAAAAATAGAGAATATCGATAATTTCTTTTCACTATATAGAGAAATGTGATTTCCACAATTATGTACAGTCTTTCTTCATCAACTATATGTTGCAGACGATAAAGAGTTCATCATTCTATTTGCTGAAATAGAATTTGGCACAGGTACCGCCGACGTCGATGGTTGAGACGAGTTGATCTCCAACTATTTGACGGGTGAGTTTGGCGCCCTTCTCACCGGTAAGAACCAGACAGTCACCGTCCCATGCAGCAGTCACCTGTATTAAGGATAATAATAGTTTGAATATATAATAATCTGGGTTTGTATAGCGATTAATACATTGACGATGTCTCTAAGCGATTTGTAGAAATATTATTTCCCCGGTCATCAGATTCAGGCTTGCCCGCACACAATTCCATTTTCAATTCAATTCAGAACTTTATTTCAGACTCAGCTGCATAAGGCAGAGGGGGCAGAGATCCATCAAACACATTATGTTACATAATAGGCTATAGGGAAAAGAGCGGAGTGTAAACATGGTGAGTATAGTAACAACAAATCTTACTGAGAGTATAACAAACTAAACTGTACTACGTAGATACATTCTAAACTGTAACATAACCTGTAAGATTGAAAAAATATAGCACATTCTTCACTCCCTTGGGAGTATTCCAGCTAGGCGCCATTTTACAGATGCTCATAATGCTGATCAAATTACAATGATTTTCACATTTTAACAAAATATATGAAGATAATGAGCTAATAACTGATTAGCGATCATGAGCTAAAAAGTTACAATTCTGAAACGCCTTTTTATGGCTACATGCGTTTTTTTCTTTCTTTTTAGAAGGCCAATATGCACTACTATAGGGGGCTCCTTTTCTATCAAAACATTAATAAAGACTATGTATCATATTAAAGTATAATATACAAATATTGTTTAGGCAAAGGCACAAGGAAATCTTCTCTTTTTTTCGGGGAAAATGAACAATTTATATGGATATCTTTATTAAATTTATGAAATCAAATCATAGCTATTATCATAATCATATGAAAACATTTGATGAATATTGAGAAAATTGACATAACAAACTTATGGTCGTGTTGCCACTTTATCGGAGAGCTAAATATACACGTATAGAAATATTGCTTGTTTTTGCCTCAAAATCTCACATGGTACTGTATTATTTGCATTTATGAGTAATTTGAAAACATTTGGATGCCTACACCACCGTCGAGAATTCAATAGCGATTTTTGTTTTCATTACAAACAAACCAGAATAGATTTATTTGTCAACAAGTACATACCAATAATATATTCATGAGCAGTGACCATTAGTTTTTTGTTTATCGTGTTGACAACAAAACATATACCCATTATTTCCACTCATATCAATAGGGAGCGAAAATGAGAGCTGGACCTAAATTGATGGTAGCGGTTTAGATTTGGATATATATAATGAGTAATATAATCAAGAATTGGAAAAGGGAAATAAGCCTACCCGAAATAGATGTTACGAATGTAAGTGTAAGCATGAATGTTGGTTATAGGTCCATGATTCTATTAATTCAGGTTTCAAACTCAGAGCAAGAAGCTACACCTCTCTCTCAAAGTTGTAAAGTTGGGAATGAATTCCGTAGTGGGATCAATCTTGGATATCCGACATTATTTTTCTCCTGCGACATTTGCTCTGGACTCTAGTTCCTCAAAGATGTAGGGTTGAGGTGAGGGTTGCAGATACGTTCTAGTTCTTTTTAGGGCTAGGGTTAGGTATAGTATAATTTTGGTCAAGGGTTAAATTGGTTGATTGACTGATTGATTGAATGGATATAGGCCTAGGCTAGGCCTATATATTGATTGATATAATTATTGATTGATTGATTGATTGACTGATTGTTAGGGCCGAACCGAGATGATAGATAGAATATAGGCCTACAAACCTTAACGGTGATGGTGCCCATGAGAAGCTCGGTCTCGAAAGTAGTTCCCACGGCGAAGGTAGTCTCACGGGTGCCACGCTGTGCTACAGTTTTGACGGTGAAGTTGTCGCCATTCTGAGTGATGGTCATACTGAGTCCGGTGATGGTTCCTGGAGGGCGTTTGTCAGCAGGAACTTGGAGCTTATCCAGGACAGCATCCAACGAATCATGTTTGGCCAGAGTCCATGAACCAGAGAGGTTAGGCATGATGGATGATTGGGTTCTAAATCAGCAGAATATAGCAAATCAAACTCATTATTAAATATCTCTTTCCATGTTGTCTACGGATAAAACAATTACAAAAACAAAAAAATTGCGAAAAATCCAACTCAAGGGCAATTTAAATACCCTATTGTATATCCCATACGAATCATATTCAGTTTAAGTAATAACTCATTGTCATGTTCGCACATTTCAATAAGTGGCGCACAGCACAAGACTGTTGAAATTGTCTTGGATTGACGTTTTTCAAAGTAGCTTCGATCGGGTCACTTGTAGCACAAAAACACAACAGATGAATTTTGAAATGACAAATTACAGCATACAAGAAAATAACATAAAACACTCTATACATATATAGATACATGTATGCTGGGGCTGGTACCCGGTGGGGTCACTCAATGTGACTTCCGGACCGCACGACCGTTACCAAAATCGCGGAAAAAGGGGTCAATTTCAAGCAATGTCCGCGGACAAAATATTCCTCGAAATAAAGAAAATAGGGGGGGGGCACAGGTGTCCTCGAAATTGATAAATAGGGGTCAGGAAAAGGGAAAAGAGAAAACCGGGAAGGTAAAAGAGAAAACCAGGAAGAAAAATTCTCGGAGCCGAGTCTTGTCCTTGAAATATGGTAAAATAGGGGTAAATTTGCGAAAGTGTCCTTACAATCTTATAAATAGGGGTATTCCAAAGTACGATTTTGTCCTTGTTTTGACGTAAAAAAGGGGGTTAAATTTCACAAAATGTCCTTGAAATTGACCGCAAAAGGGGGTTATATGCATTTGTGGTAACGGTCATGCGGTCCGGAAGTCACATTGAGTGACCCCACCGGGGGCTGGTAGCAGCCGTAAAAAAGCAAAGGGCCCTTATACCGGCCCTTATAAATTATAGTGAGGCTGCCCTAAAGTTAATGAGGTGAGGTGTTGTGATTTAGCGGATAAATCGCCGGACTGTGATCCACAGGGTACTGGGCGTTAACGTCCTTTGGCAAGACATTAAACAACAATTGCCACACTCCACTCAGGAGAGGTAAATGGGTACCTGACAGAAATTAATTTCTTGAAATGCTATAGAGCGCCACAAAAGCAGCCATACGAAAGCCGGGGTTAAGCCAGGAGTGTCAAGTTTGGCAGACATGATCACTATACAAGATCCTGTTATGGTAAATTAGTTTTAATTCACTTGGAGTTGTGTAAATGGAACCAAACCCATAACCACATCAGACTAAATATAGGTTTCTTTGCATTTTTTAAAGAGAATAAATAGATAAATTGAAGTTAACAGAATTCTAATCATGAGAAATAAGCACACTATAATAGGTCTACGTTATCAATGATGAAACTTTTATTCACGATTTACACTTTACACTGACTAAACTGTTAGTTTGTAAGTTATACAAGGACAAGACATATTCAAAAACCATTTTTTTTTTTTTTAATTTAAACAAGGTGAGAACAAAAATCTAAAAACCGTACAATACAAGGATAAATATATCGTTCACGAAGAAAGGACAAAAACTACACTGCCATAATTTTCTATTCATACGTGAATACCATATAGGCCTTTTAACTTGAATAGAAGAAACGAGATTTGATTATCCTATGTATTCAAAGTCATGCGGATATTGCCATTAGCTTGAATCTACGATATTAAAGGTGCATAGAATTCTAGTCAAATTGACAAATAAATATTCAGTGTTCAATAATCATTGGATAGTGTAATTGTTGTTGTACTAAAAAATGACTCTGCTCGTATAACGAAGAAAAAACAAACTCGTTATTGAGTGGAAAATTCGTCAATTTTTTTTTATCCCAAACAAAGGCCAAAGGATGATGTGAGATTTGCTCCGGCGGCAATTAGTCGTACAAAACAGATGTTCTTACCTGATTGTGAGAATGAGAAGTGAAGTGAAGTGTTGGCACCAGGACCGTTTGTTGAAGGTGTGGGGAAGAGGTTTTTGAGACGCACGTATTTATCGAGTTTCCAATGGCGTTTGGATTGGTCCAGGGCCTTAGCAAACAGTGAAGCTAGTCCTTGAATCTATCTAGGAACGTGATGATAATCAATAGCAAGAGTGTATAGCTATCATCAAAATTAACCTTTGATACTTGATGAGGTAATCCCTGAAGCTCTGATAAGACCAGTTGAAATGGATTCCTAGTTTCTCGTCCGAATAATATAAAAATTAGTTGGAGTGGCTTCCATTTTATTTGATGTTTGATATTATCCTGTATACATTAACATTTTAGTAGGTCACTTTCAAAAAATGGAATCATAATTATTCAGGGGTTCAAGACAAGATGGAATTCAATGATATAAAAGATCTTCCCTTTTCACCCTCTCTTTTGGTTATGTAACTATCGACATGCCCTAGATTATTTTTCTTCATTTCAAAACGAAATTATTAAAAACAATGACAACATTAAATGAGGCGGTAAGAAAAGATGGAAAGGGGGCGAGAAACATTGAACCAACTTAATTTAGTCGTATGCATAGTGTCCATTCATTTTATGACACTCAGCTACATTAAATATTTACTTTAGACTGTGATTGCCTATTCCTCGCCGATACTCGACGGATCGTAGCAACAATGAAAATGCGACGGTAATTAGAGGGTGTTGTAGAGGGGCTCATAATTAAAAATGTAAGAAAAAAAATGACCATTCCAATAACAAAGATGCCCCTCCTTAGGTAAAATTGCTAGCTCTTAATTTCTACGCCTTAATTTGGTTTAAATCCCTTCAAAAATAAACAATTGTCCTTTCTCTAATAGACCTTTGTCTGACAAAGCTCCACAATAACTTTACAGATCCGGATGAAACTTTAAGCGTCTGTAAAGTATGCATGTGTCTTATGCAAACATTTCAAAATCTTATTATTTTTATTATTATTGTTATTATTATTACTATTATTGTTATTATCATTATTGTTATTATCATTATTATTATTATGATTAGATTTATTTCCTGGAGAGCTATTATTGTTATTAATATTATTTTTATTATTATTATTATTATTTTTCTAATTATTATTATTATTATTATGATTAGATTTATTTTCTGGAGAGCTATTCACTCGGTGAAAATGCATGAGCACATACAAAGTTAAGGAAAATCAAATGAAAACCAGGGCCCCGCCTTACAAAGAGTTATGATTGATCCAAATCAATCGAATTCAATCGTAAGTTATAGTTGGGATTGATATCAACTCTTTGTAAGACAGGGCCCTAGAACGGTGTTGGCAAGTAAACACATCTCCTCGGTGAAGCCTCATTGAATAATGACGTAATACAATACAACGCACAACAGGCGAAAAGGAAAAAAAAATTCTAAACACGAACAACCTAATTAAGATGATTTACCCTATTCTACCGGTAGTGCAATGTCAGAAAAAACAAAATGTGGAAAACAATCAAAGCAATCTAGTTTGAACCAATATTGGCGCAAATGTCAGACTCAATTTTTTGTAATCGTGATTTACTAGCGATAGCTGGGAATCCTGAGATCAAACATGCACAAGGGCATTTTCAGCTAAAAACTGCCTGATCGTAGTGTCTGCTTTGAATCATTCACGATTCCTTATGTGGCAATTCGACAAATTTGCCTCTTACAAATAATCCGATTGTACTTGACACGTTCTCTATATTCAATATCATGCTATGTACACGGACCCCTCCCCCTTTAATCTAAATAACCTTTATTCTGATATACAGTAGATATGGGTTGAATTCTGCCAGACACTTCAGCAAACAAGATTTTACCGGGTCATCAATAATTGTTACTTGAGTAATTTAGTTGTGGGGGGGGGGGGGGGGGGGCGGGGGGGGGGGGGGGGTAACGTGACATCGTGACATCGGAATGCTTTTTTTCAGTAAATCTTTAGAAATTTGATTAAGATATAATTATGTGGAACATTTCTGTTTAGGTTCCTTTGAAAGAAAAAATGTACACCAAGAAATATTAAAGTAAGGAACTATTTTCACAAATATGGCAATGTTTAGCATGTATCTTAAAGTGACAATATTCTTAAAAAATAAAAAAACATACTTTGAAAGAAATAATTCTATGACATGTTGGAAACGTTAAAGGTACTATGTCCCATTTGCAGGCCAAAAAATGAAAAAGTTAAATTCCAACTGCATTTGAAAGATAATACTTATTTAGAACTTCCCTAAAAAAGGTGGGGCTTGAAAATGTCTTCAAGTGGGAAAATAATGACTATTAGTTGTCAAATCGACTTTAGGGCTATAGAGCCCAAAAGTAATAGTCTTGATTTTCAGACAATTGTACCGAATGGTCATACGTTTTATGCTGCGCAAAGATTCGATCAGTTTAATCTTGGCCATCACAAGAAGTGGGTTATTGATGTAGACCAATGCTCATGTACCCTTTACAACTCTTTTCATTTATGTTATTACCAAAGATGAAAAAAGCCAGTCAGTCACTCAATAGTGTCTGACAGTGAAGTCTAACAAGTAAACGGGTTTCCTTGCATAATTTTAATATAAGGACACTGCTAACGTTTAAATTTCACAGATAGGACATACATGACATATTCATAATTCCTGCAAAGTTCTACAGAATTTGAGGTTGGCTGCAAAAGGGACATAGTACCTTTAATGGTAATAAGAAAATCATGCCTCGGTCACACCGCCAAACCGACTCCAGACCGACTCTAACCGACTGCCTTTTGGCCACTCAATACCATTGTACATACGCAGTCTGTTGTCGGTCTCGTGTCGGTGTGACGAGGGCGGGTTAGGACTCTTTTAATTCAATCATAAAGACTCAATGCTTCATAATTTATAGAGGTCGACCGATTTGGGGATAATTTTAAAGGGGTGGGGTGTATATTGAAAATGGTTGATTCAACACGGAATGACTCTCTCTTTCTCTCTCTCTCCCTGTATTTTCTCTTTTTCGTGGATTGTAATATGCATGCTTTTCAGGTTAATGGAATGCAACGCATCTCTTTCACCATTTTACATAAACTATGACATGAGAAAGTTTCGGCACTGTAGCTATGGAGACAAAGTTCATGTGACAATAAATCTCGACTACAGGCCATTATACCGACAATATCGTATTTGTGGGCCTTCTAAGTTCTATCTCTATTCCAGAGGCCCCCTGGATGGATGCTTTTCTCCGATTGTTCATTTCTCTGTTTTGTTATTGTGTGTCTGCCTACGATGGGCTGTCGGTCTCGGGGACGGGGGCCGTCGTTCTCCTGACATTTTGGAACTTTGTTTTGTTGTTGTTAAAGTCTTCGGTCCCCTGGTTGCTTACTTACAAGTGCACTATACGATTTCTTAGCAGTCAGGTAAAGCAAACCAACAAATTATAGGAAACTGTAGACAAAATTATTTTAAAATATTAGATTTTAAGTGAGTCATCGAGAAGCTCTAAATGCATTCTCATCAGACTATAGGACCTTCAGTCGACTGCTGATTACTTCACCCAAGGCAAGCTGATAAAAGGTTACTGGGCGAATTGCAAAGATCACGACTGTTTTGATCGATGCACATCGCTATCGGCCGTTGTACGGAATAAAGTGTATGTTTAACTTGTTTAACTGCCATTATCATTCGAAACAAACATACGTTATCAGATACGCAATACAAAAAGCAAGCTTCGTTGATTTTGACTCAAATGAAGTGTTTAAACAAGATATTTTAAAGCAGACATGACTTCCCCTGGATAAGCTGATAGAAGATTGGACCACTTGAATATTCACATGGAAATAAATTTAGAATAAACACTATTACAATGATAATATTGAGCAAACACTTGCTTTTTAAACCCATACGAACTAGGCACGCACCATGATTATCTTTGGATGGCACCCAAGGTGCTATTAACAGCATGTAAGATAATATGAATGACATGAATGATGAATCAGACACTTGAGATATAGTACTCACTAAAACTATACGTGTTACATACTCAAACCATTATTTAAAAGGATCGAGGGGTGACCACATGTTCAGAATGGTAGATTTGACACTTTAACATGCTGGATACAACTATAAAGGTTGAAAGTGTAACCGGCCTTCGACCCTTTTAAAAGGTGATTTCACTAACACTATAGTTTCAAGATAAGATTACATGTATCTGGTTTAAACATTTATGAATAGAGAAGGTACTAATTCGGAAGTGTAATTGTGATAAATGATGATTATGTTGCAGTAAGTTGCGTGGGGTATTACAATCATTGAAGCTCTTAACATTGATATTGATAAATGAATTGACGTAGGAATTTGTTAGCAGGGCCATCTGGTGCGGTGGCTAAATAGAATCGGGAGGTCCCGGGTACGAAACCATACGGACGAAAAGAAAGTTGGGTAAATCATGTTGGTGTGATATGTTATGCAATATATTAAACAATTGAACATTTTACATTTTATCCCAATATATTATCTACATACTATACATGCATGCAGACGCGTACGCAGGGGGGGGGGGGGGGGGGGGGGGGGGGGGGGGGTTGAACCCCCTTTGGTATTTTTATGTGTGTAAACCCCCCTAAAAAAAAACTAACCCCCCCCCCCCTTTGGATTTTTTTTTTAATCACACTGTCGCTCATAAAGGTGGAATATTTTAGTTTTACCCCAATTTATGGAATTATTTTAAAAATTATTTGAAAATAATAGATATAAATAATAGTATACATTCTCAGATTTTATTGAATAATAACTTGCCAATGTGTGTTTTGCGGAACTGCTAAAGCATGTGTATGCTACTATGCTTATCAACTAGGAGACCTACGCTCTCAAGTCATAAATGACAGTAATGAGGATTAATGCCCCACAAAAGGGCACTAATATAGCACATCGACACGGTTTTGATCATGGGGCCTCACAGTTACGAGGCCATTGTTTTGTCACTGAACCATGAATGTACGTAGCGGGGGCTAGAGTAGGGGGCAGTTTCCATAAATAAAAAAAAACACAGAAAATGCAATAAATTTTCAA